AAAAAAAAAAAAAAAAAAAAAAAAAAAAAAAAACAAAAAAAAAACATATATTTTGGGACCAAATTATAAGTCTGAAGCTATTTTATATGAATATTTCTTTTTAAGTCGGACTGATGGAATATCAGAATATTTCTATGACATTGGAAAAACAAGTACGTTTTATATATATATTTTCGAACAGTAAGATATTTCTGGCGAAAAAACACTGTTAATAAATATAAAAATCCACACATTATGGATATTTTAATAGTTACTCTACAACTTGTGAATATCTTTAGGAGATTCTCATGATGTCCTGCCATGGTCTAATTAAGTCATTCATTCGGATAACGAAGTTTGTATAGCTCTCACCCTAGAAACTAGACGCCAAATATTATTACCCGTGGACTCTTTTGAAGCCATTTAAATGTTTTAACAAATATGACCCTTGTTACACTAAAGTAGGTCAAGGTCATTAATTTGAACAAACTTGAGAGACTTTCATTCTCTGAAATCTATCGGTACAAGCAGGGACGTATACTGTCCCTGGTACAAGTAAGGTGTTTTTTGGTCGGTTTTGGTGTATTTTAGGTAAATCATCTTGCCGCCTGTGATTAAGCTCCATTAAGTGTAGCTAAACATTGTTCGCATCGTTGAAACCCTATCAAAATACCTTTTGTTCTTGGATCGGGTTTTTAGTCCGGGTCCGGGAACCGCGTACATATGTACAGACTAGTAAAAAAGCCCAGCAACATTCGTAACAGGGCATATCATATTTTGTATGAAGGTCTTTAAATAGAAGATTAGTCTCACGCTATCTTATATCATGCCATGAAAAGATAATGTTTGATTTCACAAATTGAAAGTAGGAAGTGCTTACTACAAAATGAAAAAGTCTAGAATGATCCGAACGTATTTAGTTCCGAATAAACAACTTCCGGTGTGAGACAATTCTGCAACCTTGTGAGGACTAAAATGTCATCTCTCGTGGCAGAAGCTATACAGACGGAACTTGGTGGTACACATTAATCACTTTAGCCAAGTTGTTTCATTTATGGTTGAATTTGCATTTTTTTCAAATGTGGTTTTGCTTAGCTTACACTTCAACACATTCCTTGCTGCATGTCACAGGGGCTTGTAACAAATACATAACAATCGTATGCTCGTATATGTTTTTATAACATTATGTGTTCGTATATATCGTTTTTATTTATTACAAACCCTTGTGGTTAGGTATGTGAAGAAAATGTCATGTTTTTATGGGCTACAATGTATGCACGGGGACCTAAGAATTTGCATTGTTTCAGCTACATGTACCTCCAATCTGACCTGGACAAGTTAGCTGTATGGGCAAAAAACTGGACTATGTCCTTCCACCCGGACAAGTGTAGCGTACTATCTATAACATATGTAGTCGTTCTCCCAAACTGTATGATTATACCCTTTACGGACAAACCTTAAAACATGTAAATACTGCTAAATATTTGGGCATAATACGTTTAGTTCAGACATGCGTTGGGAGAAACATATCACCAACATTTGTAACAAAGCAAACAACACTCTAAGCTTTTTAAGACCAAACCTCAAAATCAGCTCCAAAGGAATTAAAGAACAGGCATACACATCTTTAGTAAGGCCATCAGTTGAATATGCCAGTACTGTATGGGACCCATATTTAGAACAAGACATCAACAAAATTGAAATGGTCCAGCGGAGAGGAGCTAGATTTACCTTAAATTGCCATGGCAACAGGTCCAGTGTAGGAGATCTGTTAGATTGGCCACTTTTAGAAACCAGAAGAAAAAATGCCCGTCTAGCCATGCTTTACAAAATTAAAAATAACCTGGTTGCAATTGACTCTACAAACAAACTACTCCCAGCTACACGTCTATCTAGAAACCAACATGAACAATGCTTCTCCATACCTCACTGCAGAACCCAGTATAAGAAAATGTCCTTTTATCCACGCACTATAGTTGATTGGAACAGCCTCCCGCCAGATATCGCCTACAAAAAATCACTAGTGACCTTCAAATCTGACATCCTTAACTTTAAAAACCTTAAAGTAATGTGTGTTTTTAATCTTATCTATTTTTATTAGGTGATTATTTCTAAATTAGAAAAATCATTAGCAGTACATCAGTACACTCCTGTACGGGAAGGGTTCAGAAAGGTGGCCAGTGTTGATATGACCAACACCGATTAAGAACCCTTCCCCAATACAGAGCAGTTGTAATCTTTGTTAATTTGGCAATTTATTTTTGGTTCCATGTACAACAGCACACTTCTGTACAGTAAGGGTTCCTAAAGGTGGCCAGTGTTGACATGACCAACACCGAGTAAGAACTCTTCCTAATACAGAGTAGCTGGTTCTAAAAAACAAACAAACAAAACACTAAATAATCAACCTTCAAATTTCCTTATTATTTACTATTAGTAGTATTCTTTCTCATACTATTAATTATTATTATTATTATTTTTGTTTTTAAATGTTTTTAATTGTACTATTAATTGCGCACACACAAACCAGTGTCATTATATTCGGCAAGACGAATGAAGACACTTACATGGCAGAAGCAGAAGCTATATTTGGAGCTAAACATGATCTAGTGGAGGTGGCATTTTTACCGAAAATCGATCTAAACCCCCCAAACATGTCAAATAACTCTAAGCACCTTAGCTGTAACAAATTCTCAGGTCCCTGTGATTGAATGATGTACAGAATTGTATATTATCCTAAATAATGTTCAGTAAATTGAACGTTTTAGAGTATCCTGTTGAAGTTGAAGTCCTGTGATAATGATCTTGCATTTGGATAGCAGCAGAGGACATATTATACATCTCTGGTAGCAGTAACCTGTAATTGAGTAGCAATTGGGAATAATGTGAAATGAAAACACATACATTTCTTTTAAACATGAACAAGAAGCCCAGAGGGCCTGTATCGCTCACCTGTTTCTTTTGTTACATGCAACTGACATATAGGTAACTTAAGACCATTTGGTAACTAGAACACAAGACATTTTAACATCTCTTAAACGGTTATGAAGATATTGTTGTTTGAAACTTAAAATTTTAATTTTAAAGCTTTTAACCAAAGTTGACATTTGAATCCCGATTTGCACTTAAAGTTGACCTTTGACCTCATTACTGTAATGAAGAAAACAATTCGCACAGCTGGTCTGCATAACATACCCAAGTATCATGACTCTAGTTCAAATGGTTCTTAGGATATTGTTGTTTGAAATTTTTAACATATTTGACCCCTGTGACCTTCAAAGCAGGTCTAGGTCTTTTTAATGAGGAAACTTTATAGCAGCATATCCCAGGTACTTACTGGCCAAATATCATGACCCTGGGCCTTATATGGAACTTGAGAAGAAGATTGTTAAAGCTTTCAACCAAAGCTGACATTTGACCCCTGACTAGCATTTAAAGTAGACCTTTGACCTCAAAACTGTAATTGAAAAAAATATTCGCACTGCTGGTCTACATAACATACCCAAGTATCATGACTGTAGTTCAAATGGTTCTTAGGATATTGTTGTTTGAAATTTTTAACGTATTTGACCGCTGTGACCTTGAAAGTAGGTCAAGGTCATTTTAATGAGGAAACTTTATAGCACTCCATCCCAGGTACCTACTGACCAAATATCATGACCCTAGGTCCTACAGTTCTTCAGAAGAAGTCGTTCAAAAGAAAAAGTTGACGGACAGACGCCGCAGTACGGCATAAGCTCAGATGGCCCTTTGGGCCAGGTGAGCTAACAAAAAAGGGCACCGATCATTCTTTCAACATAATCAAATAAAAAAAGTACAATGAGGTACAGTTGTGCACAAAAATTCAGTTATCTAAATCTTTGTGAAAATGGAAAATTGTATCACCTACATTGCTTATAGAGTGTAGTAGAGAAACCATAAATAGCACACAGAAAAAATCATGCTCATCTGTCACATTTACAGTGGTTTGGATTGGTTTAATATTTGTTTAACGTCGTGCTATCAACAGCTGGGGTCATTTAAGGACATGCCTCCATTGTGTGTTGTGTGTTGTGTGAGCAGGCACACATTTGCAGTGAATGATCCCATTGACTACACACTGAAGTCAATGGAGAACAAAGTCAGTGATATGGTTTGTCATTTTCACAAAAAGTTAGACATCAGAATTGTGTTTTTTTTTAGGTCACCTGAACTTTAGCTGAAGTGACCTATTGCTATCTGTCTTCGTCTGTCGTTGTGTGTCTAGATCTTCTGTCATCCATTAACATTATACATTTTCAACTTAAGGAGTTTCCACCCTTCGTAATACACATGTTTTTCTTTTCGTATTTTCGTGTCGTCATTTCCGTATTGCGTATCGGGCATTCCATTACCGTGGTATAAATTATAGTAACACCGGGTAAACAATAGTACACGTGCGTGATGATGATATGTCAACACCCGATATCAAGACTTAACTTGGAAATGTGTAATCACACGTACTTCAGAAATAAAGCTTATGATACAAAGACATTAATTAACTCACGGGCAAACACTGACATATGATCAGACGACTTCCAAGAAGGTCGTATATGAGGCGCATGGAATGCAGACTGATGTGTTTTGTTTACCGACCTCACCTGTACGTATCACGCTAACAGTAGTTCACAAGCTCTTGGTCGCTACAACTTTTGTTGTCGAGCGAGTTACGCTCTGTCAGATAAATCGGTTCACAAATGCAATTACAATAACTCTGTTAAAAAGTGGTTTGTAAAATATCAAGATCCCTATAAAATGCAAGTGCATGTGCGTGCACGTAATAACGGCATACCATGCGATAGCCTATGGTTACATATGTACCTGACATGTTAATATACCATGCGTAAGCAGGCTATGGAATGATGTCCAAAGTGTACATGATTGAGAGTAATTTTGTTCCATAAAAGCACAGTAACTTGACAATTGAATCTAGTAATTCAAATTACTTCCGTCGTTTTTTGGTATAGTAAAGAAAATAAGTGTCATTGTATAAATTCTATCCCTCTGCAAAAAGTTCCGGTTTTTTTCAAGGTAGACAACTCTCATCAGGATCAAAATTATTGTAAAATGTAAAATAAATTAATTATAAAGACTTTGTGTGCATTTTGTTCAATTTTTCAGTCTTTTTGTATGAAAATATGTGTCCTGTTTGCTTTTAGCTTGTATTTAGTAACTTTTATCCATACAATTTCAATAAAAAACGCTTTTTGTAACATGTTGTAGATATTTTATGATAAATAAAATATTTGTAGGGTTGATTAGCAATGTTTCTTTTCATTATTTTATTGTTGTTATAGTTTTGAACAATGCAACACGCTCAAAAAATGTGAAAGTGTTGAATTTGACAAAAAATCAATATTTCGGTATTTTTTACAAAAAAATCCCCAGTTTATCGGAATGCTTAGATTTTCATAAAATCATTTCTACATAGTGACATAACCATTATGTGAAACTTTAATTGAATTCTGCTGGCTAATTGCGAAAAGGTGGAGCCTCCTTAAGCTGAAATACTGTCAAAGGGATTTCATTTGCATTTCCTGGGAGTGTTAATTACTGACATCTCCCTGACCAAGTGTTGCTATTTTTTGGGTAGCTCAGAAATCCAATTTGGCCTTTAATGCCGCCATTTTAAAAAGAAATATTTTAAACTTAAAGTCAAGTTCTAAAGGGTGGATTTAACTGAAACCTTGTAGGAATGAACGAATCATGGTCCTGACAAAGTATTGTTATATTTCAGGACCATCAGAAATCCAATATGGCCACCAATGCCGCAATTTTAAAAATACTATTTCAAACTTAAAGTCAAGGTTTCATGGGCGGATTGAACTGAAACCTTGTAGGAATGAACAACTCATGGTCCTGACGGGTCAATTAGAGAAATACAACATGGCCACCACAGCCACCATTTTGGAAAACTATTTCAAACTTAATAAAGTTCTAATGAGCTGATTTAACTGGAACGTTGTACGAATGATCGACTTATGGCCGCCACGCCACGGCTGTCATTTTAAAAACTATTTACTATTTCAAGGTCACCGTTACTATTTATAGAAAATTGTCAAACAGTGAGATACATTTTCTTTGGCAAAGGGCATTCATCATTCATGTGTTACACACTTCTATAGTTTTACTTAAACTTGGTAGTGATGGTACTCGCACTGGTGAAATACATTTTTTTTGTATGACAAATAATGTACTTTTTTATTTTGACATCATCATTTCAACAACAACAATTACAACAACTTACTGTAGAACTCGGGTGACTTTTAAGGCCCATGGGATTCTTGTTTTGTGTACAAATGTACCTCATTGTGTTATTAAATAGATTTAGTTGAAGGAATAATGCCTTTTTTATCTCCAAGTTTTTAAAAGAGCTTTGTGAGTTTTCATTTCACATTATTCCCCATTTCAGTAATAGAATTGTTACTCAAATGGGTAACTGTTATCCAAATGGGTAAATGTTACTCAAATGGGTAACTGTTACTCAAATGGGTAACTGTTACTCAAATGGGTAACTGTTACTCAAATGGGTAACTGTTACCCAAATGCAGGATTATTACCCATATGCACCATTGTTCCCAACCTGTTAACAAAGTAACATATAAAATTTGGTTCCAAGTCTCGACAAAGTCAGAATTAGATTGAAACCAAATTTTAAGAAATATGAAAAAAAAAAAATCCAGCATCTAAGCACATATTTATATTATGTATTTAAGTGGCTATGTTTTATTGTAAAATGCAGATTAATAATGGTAAAACAATTATATTTTAGCCATAGAACGATGGCCAGATGATGTGCAGTTTTTTCAACAATACCAAGGTATGTACTAATGAAACAGTTATGAAAATGAAAAATGATTTTTATACTGGCATGTGATTATTCCGTCTTTGCGTATTGCAGAGTTATCTTCTCTTGGGAGCAGGTATTGATTGTTACGTCATTGGTTTGTATGAGAAAATTACGTCGTTTTCTCAAAAATTGATGACGTTACTCTCACAAACAAGTGACTTAACAATCAAAACCTGCTCCCAAGAGAAGATAACTCTGCAATAAGCAAAGACGGAATAGTAATACAAGTGTTTTAAATAAGAAAGATAATTATAATGCTGAATAACAATACATTTTCGTAACGTATTGAACCAGAAGAGAATTGTATGAATACAAATTGTAGGTCACTGTGGGTGTGGGAATCGAGCCCAGTTGGGGACCAAAGTGGGGTAAATTTTCAAAGACTACTGTTTTAGTACGTACAGGTCCAAAGATTTGAACTTTATTTGGTATGGAACATCCTAATGCCAAGGGAATGTAATGTTGTGTGGTAACCTACACATCCAAAACCATTTTGCCACAAATTTTGTTCACATTACACCAGTGTGACAACCATGTGGGCCCTAAATTTCTTTTTCGGCCCAAAGATGTTTTGCCCCAAAAGCCTCATCTACATGTATAGTTAATTAATGCTCATCTAAAAACGAAGAAAATCCAAAACACTGCCTTCCCATGAATACCAAAATAATGAGTTTTGCAACAGAAAATTCTGCAAGGAACAAGGACAAATAATAGGGAGTTGACATCAACTCTAAACCATTTAACTGAATTTCCAATTTTCATATTAATAGAATATCTAATGAAAATTGTTTTTTTTTAATTTAGTTGAACAGATCACACTTCCTGACCAAGCCGCCTGTCTCAGCGTGAAAACTTTTCTCCATATGTGTGGATTAAATTATAGAGAGGAGCTGAGAATTAATGCAGAAGAAATGTCCCCATCAGGTAAAGATAATAAACAATATGTATATAATCATAAGGATATCAACAAGAACACTGTATTTATTCCTATACTATCTCAATCTCTAATGCTAGCCACTTCATGATCACAATATCAACATTATTTATATTACACATCTTTTGAAACCGCAAAGTATAACCAATATGCAGGCTTTTTCTTTCAAAGGAAATGTAAAATACATATATTTCTTGTAGTTAAAACTGAAGTCTTACAATATATATGTATATGTAGCATCACATTATGTATAGTGGTGTTCCCTATTATAAGTTATGTCCGGGCTCTTTAAATAGAATGTAGTTATATGTGTAACTTTGTTTTAGGCAAAGTGCCATTTTTAAAAGTTGGACCATTTTTGACGTCGGAGTTTGAACCTATTGTAGCATTTGTTAATCAAAGGGTGAGTATTACAGCAACTTTCTACTACTGCAGATAATTTGAAAAATGGTTTGGAGGTTACTGTAGAATCTTTTTTTTCGTGGGGTTGAAATTTCGTGGTTTTCATATACTAGCCTGTTTCAAGGACATGATATTTCCCTAATTTCTGATTTTCCCCTATTTATATCATACCAAATTAATGTTTTTGTGGGGATTTAATTTTGTGGATTTTTGTTATCCACAAAATCAACGAAATTTAATGTTATACAAAAATTTATGATTTTATAGTATATATACTCTATGACTTGGGTTACAAATGATATATTGTGAAGACCATTTTGCCATAAATATTGCCTCATTTTATGATTTATGTGCTTTTTACTACTGCAATAGAATCAGGACACATTGAGAATCATTGTAGATTGATACCTTTAATTCATAAACACTGGGAGTGCATTTAACAAGGAAAACTTCGTGCAATAGTCAAATTTTACAATAGAAGCTTGGTGTTGTTTGGGCATCTTATCAGTATCGAGGCTGTGGTATTGTACCAAACCAGTTCTGGTCAGCCGTGATGTCTACAGCATCTGTAGTCTTGTACCACACCAGTTCTGGTCAGCCTTGATGTCTACAACATCTGTAGTATTGTACCAAACCAGTTCTAGTCAGCTTTGATGTCTACAACATCTGTAGTATTGTACCAAACCAGTTCTGGTCAGCCTTGATGTCTACAACATCTGACAGTGTCTGGACACTGCACTGTTGTGTAGGATTGCAGGGCATAATATCTTGGCATCTTGGGCAAATTGAGTCACTCCTCTTGTTGTTAATATCAGGGTCATTTTTTAATTTAAATTTTCCTGGTCAAAGAAATAAATAAGCATTGCCGTAAAAAGAAGAATTTCACAAGTGCTTTAATCATTTTGAACATTCGTGATAGTATTGGGTTTAGTACATCATGTAGGGCACCCAACCTGTGGCTGTTTATAATTACCTCTTTGGCATTATGCATGTTAATTTTTCTTACTTTTACAGGGATTTAGTATAAGTGAACAGTTGGATGATGCTCAGAGGTCAGAAATGAAGGCTTATATGGCAATGGTGGATAATATACTTGTTCATGCCGAGGTAAGCTGTCTACATCCTAGCGTATAACATTGGGGAGGGTCGCCTCTACAGCTGGTACTGTAGTATAAAACACGGAGTATGATAAATTGTTGACCTTAACGGGTCAACAATCCACATTTGATCCTGTTTATGTCTAATTCTGTTAGCTTGTTATATTTCATTGATTAATGTGTGGGCTGTGATGTTATGAAACAGTGATGGTTTTGTAGACTATTCACCAGTCAACAAAATATTTGATTTGTTTCATATAGCAAAATTTACATAGAAAGGTTGACAATGAGTCCTAGCTGAATGTTAGTTTTCTGTTTTACGAGGCTCTTACTACTGTTGACAACATCTTGAAACCATTAGGACTACATCACAGTAAAAGCTGTACATGTTCCAGAAATAACCATATGGGAGGGATGGGAGGCACTTTTTCAGAGACCCCACCACCCATCAAATATGAAAAGTGATTTAATATCAGGAATGGTAGGCAGATCTGGTTTTAAACCCACCACCCATTATATAATAGAACAGGTGCCTCCCAACTCCCCATATGATTAATTATCGAATAGCCCTAAGCTTTAAATAAAATATTATGACTCTCAGCCTTATTGGTCTTATGAAGAAGTCATTTATTAAAAAAGATGGACTGTTAACAGACGGACAATAGCTGCCGTGTCAAAGATTAACAGACAGGCAACATATGCCAGGTTTTAAAGCTGAAATGCTTCATTCAAGTCAGATTTAATCATATTTGTATTATATTTTCAGCTGTACCTGAGCTGGGTAATCCCTGATGTTGTAAACGAGGTAAATATGTGTACTATAATCACATGCATCTTGATCAGCATTCTACAATGTCTGGTTTGAATTAACTTGAAGCACCTTTGAAAAAGATTTTCCATATATAGATGTATTTGTGAATGTTTATAAGAAATGTAATCTAAATTACAGATGAACTGTTAATTCTGTCTGTATTCACACATAATTGATATACACTTTCTTTGTCTTCAAACTCGTTTCTTTACGAACATCCAGGTAACAATACCTCGCTATGGTGTGGGGCAGCCTCAACCATTATCCTGGATATTACCTCGACTAAAAAAGCGAGATGTTCAGACCAGGCTGAGCAGCATTGGCTGGTCAAAGAAGACGTTTGATGAGGTATTATTTCCTATAATTCTGATGACTATGTTATATTACAGGTGATGGTTTGTAGAAAGATAACCTGTTTATCTGGAATGAGTTGGTATATATATATAATAGCCTGTTGAAAACATTGTAGGTCCATCATCCCTCTATCCATCCTTCCTTTGGTAATATTAAATATTAAATATCATCAAAATGGTCCCCATCAAATGTTGTTATTTTTGGGTCGATTTGAAATTAAAGAGGCATTTCTGACTTATTATTATTTTTGGAGGCATATAGAGCTACCTATACTATTCACATTTTGCTAAGGATCACTTTTAGTTTTAGGCATATGTGAAAATAAATATTTTAATTGGTTTATACTGAGATTTTTTTTGAAAAATTGATTGGTCTTTTAATTAATCAGCATGCAAAAATTCCAAAAATCGTAATTACAGTCGAAAAATGAGCCACAGGAAAAGGGTTACCCTTAAAACTGGTAACAACGATGTATTCACTAAAAAACTTAAATTGAACAAAACTCATCCTAAATAAAGAGAAACTATTTTCGTGTCGAGTGTGACGCCCATGATCATCAATTACAGCTTCACAACGTCTGTGCATGTCCCGAATGAGATACGGTTTTGTGGGATAGCGTTCCACTCAGCTACCAGATCTGTTCCCAGCTCCTGGAGTGTTCTTGGCTGAACATTTCTGGCAGAGAGAGCTGTCTGCAGCATGTTCCACACATGCTCGATGGGATTTAGATCTGTCGAGCGGGCTGGCCAATCCATTGGTTTACGAGTCTCTTGCTGTAGATACTGCTCAGTCACCCTTGCTCTATATATATGTGGCATAACATTATCGTCCATAAGGACGAAGTCAGGGCCGATAACGCCACGTAGGGTCTGACATATGCATCAAGGATTTCATCACAGTAAATCTTGGGTGTAACAGTACCTTAATGGAAGAAATGGAGGTCAGTTTTCCCACGAAGGCTTATGTCTCCCCACACCATCACTGAACCTCCACCATATCGGTCATGTTCCACAACGTTACCTGCCTGGAACCTCTCCCCAGGTTGTCTCCATACTCTAACGCGCCTGTCGGTGAAGTCTAGACAGAATCTGGACTCGTCAGTAAAAAGAAACGGTTCCCATTACTGAAGAGTCCCAAGTGCTGTGAGCTTGGGCCCAATCTAATCGGTCCCTTCCAATCTAATCAATCCCTAACATGGCGGGCAGTTAAGGAAACTTGTATTGCTGGTCTAAGTGACCTTAAACCAGCATCATAAAGACGGTTCTTAACTGTCTGAGTGGCTACCGGGGTACCAGAAGCATTTAGGAGGTCATTTCGTAAAGCTGTGGCAGTCTGGAACCTGTGATGCCGTGCCTGTATGAGCAAAAATCGGTCTTTGCGCTGCGTTGTAGCTCTAGAACAACCTCCAGCATGATGTCTGGGAGGGTTACCTTTAGTTCGGAAACGATTCCCCATTCTTGCCACCACCCTTTGAGACACCCATAAGTCTGCTGCAACCTGACATTGAGACATGCTAGCTTGCAGCATTCCGATGCCCTTATTCATTTTACCATCATTTAATCGTTGGTTCGTCTTTGTGCCATATCAAAACAAAAATATGCAAAGAATATTCATCAAATTAATTTCCTTAACAATTTGAACAACGCCTTACTTAGCCTAGCTTAGCTTATGAAAGGGGTACACGTGGAAAAGTGTGCACACACTTTTATGGCTGACTGAACACACCCACACAAGGCACACAGGACGATTTGGAACATATTCGCCCAAAACAGTACGTAAGGAAAATATAATATCTTTTGTAACATTTTGATTTTTTTCCCCCTCAAAATACAGGTGATCCTTAGCAAAATGTGAGTAGTATATAAGTGTAGAGGAATAGAGGGGCAGGGGAGTGGAGTAAAGAGGAACCTGTTAAAAGTGATAAAGGTGGTGATAATGTTACTGCGGAGCATTGAACTTCAATTTGTTGGTAAGCTTTCCAAGAGACAAGAGCCAGATTATGTAATTATGGCTCGTCTGTCAGACTTTATGTAATAGGTAGCTGTAAATGTGGATCATTTCACTTAAATATTATTGGCATTGGTGTAATTATTGTGATATTTGAGATTAACACCATGCATACATATTTTGAGTATTAACTTGTTCACCCCTGGAGTTTCAAAATGAACTATTCCAACCTTCCAACTGGAAGAGTTCAAATATGTCTTCAGGGGTGAATGAGTTAATAGTATGTGTGGGGGAGAAGAGTACATGAAAACCTCAACAGCGTGTAATAAATGTTGATTACTGTGCATAGATTTCCGTGTTTACAATAGTAAATAAGTACTGAAACTATGAAAAAACGTCAGCACTGTACTTAGGCTACTAATAATGTATGATCAAACAGACCTTTACTTATATTTAGAAAAAAACCCACCTATGTCGAGTGATTTGCTGCTATAAATATTACCCTTTTAATTACATTTCAGGTGTGTGAAGAGGTCGTCACTTGTTGCCAGGCTTTATCCGATAGACTAGGGACAAATTCGTACTTCTTCGGGGAGCGGTAAGTCTCATAATATTCATTACATGCACACGAGGAACACCTTTTAAGGGAAATTTTATACAGAGTTATTGATGGAATGATAGATGAGAGAGTTTGTTGTAGTGCTCTTGACCTACTTACATACGGGAAAATCTGTCATGACATTTTATTTCAAATTGCATGTTTTCAAACAGGTATAGATGTATGTTATAAAAAATATTTTACCACTTGAAGGAAAATGTAAAGAATTTGTTTTGTTTTGCAGGCCAACTGAACTGGATGCTCTAGTGTTTGGTCACCTCTTCACAATTATCACTACGGAACTTCCGGAAATGAGAATAGCCAACATTATTCGGAAATTTGAGACTCTCACAACTTTTTGTTCAAATGTGGACAAATTATATAGAGACTTTTCTGCTGACTAGTGAACTCACTGCTAGGTTTAGAATATGTGTTTCTTGTTTAATGGACTGTGGAGAGGACAGTGTGACTATATATATGACTGATATAATTTATAACAACTGGAGTGTAAGCTGTACTGATGAGTTCATCCCATTACCAGATTGTATTTGTTTCTCATACTCCACACAGTATATTTTATACAGAACCTTGCAAGACTTTAAACATTTCACAACTTTACACAAACATTGTGGTTTCTTATGTTTAAGAGATTTTTTTCAATGAAGGCACACAATAAAGTTTTCAATTCTTCTATAACTGGGATATACATTCCCCATTAGGCATTATGAAAACAAAAACAGACAATATGTAATATTGAAATTCCTGTTGTGAAGTTATCATGATAGAATTATATTAATCTTCCAAGATCTAGGAACTTCTATTGAATAAATAAAGTACCAAAAATGTATGTTCCTGTTTGCAAACCCAAAAATTGATGAATACATTCAAAGTGTTAGCTGGTAGTAAACCTAACTTAAAAATACTAGTGAAAGTAGTAAGGTCAGTTTCAAGGTTTGATGAGGGCATTAATACAAGTGAATGGTAATTTGGTGTTTTGTAAGTAATAGATGGTGAGTGAGAGTGAATATTTAGCCGGTAGTGGTGCTGTGTATTGAGAAGTACATGTATATGGCCATACAGCTGGATCTACGAAAAGGCTGGATCTATGAAAAGGCTGGATCTACGAAAAGGCTGGATCTATGAAAAGGCTGGATCTACGAAAAGGCTGGATCTACGAAAAGGCTAGATCTACGAAAAGGCTGGATCTACGAAAAGGCTACGAAAAGGCTGGATCTACGAAAAGGCTGGATCTACGAAAAGGAGCCATACAAAAGAACTGAAAGTTACTGAGAACTGGAAAGGAAATATATGATTGTATAGAATTGCAAAACAATTTGGTGCAATACACATCCTTGAGGACAGTAATTATATAGTTTGTTGTTATTTCCCTTAAATTGACCTTGACTCATATACAAGGTTGTAGTTGTCGGTAAGAAAGCACTCCAATGACTTCTGAAGAAACAAAACGTCTTTTGTCTTGATACCTGGCTTGTAACTTGCTGAATGGCATTACTACAATATTTGGAACAAGAGGTCCATTGGACCTGTATCGCTCACCTGGTTTTATATTTAAGTCATTACAACTGAATGCATTAGTACATCTTTATATGAAATTTCCTCAAAAACCAGACAAGATCTATGTTCTAACCCAAATGGGACCACATTATCTGTCTTTCAACTAATCATTGAGTTGCCATGTTTTGAATTAAGTAATATGTCATATTACAGGTTGTAATTAGACAATACTTTAATTTTCATTCAACTATAAGCTTTAATAAACCAGTTTTTAACAATTTATGAAAACTACACCATAGAATATGATTATCTGGCTGTACCATTTCTTAGGACCGGAGGGGTCCAATCAACCTCATTCAATTAAGTAATGTTTGTTCTTCCTCAATATTGTTTTTGACCAAATTTTGTACAATCCACTCGTNTCGAACCAACCTTATTTATTGAAGAAATGATTGCCCTCCTCTAGTGATGCTTCAGACTAAATTTGGTTGAAATCCTCTTTGGCGTTAAGCAGGAGATGCAGTTTAAAGCAAATTTAGCTAAGTTCCCCTTCAGGGCCCCGCCCCCTGGCCTCAGTGGTCGAACCAACCTTATTTATTTAAGAAATGATTGCCCTCCCCTAGTGATGCTTCAGACTAAATTTGGTTGAAATCCTCTTTGGCGTTAAGCAGGAGATGCAGTTTAAAGCAAATAAAGCAAAGTTCCCCTTCAGGGCCTGGCCCCCCTGGCCTCAGGGGTCGAACCAACCTCATTTATTAAAGAAATGATTGCCTTCCCGTAGTGAGGCTTCAGACTAAATTTGGTTGAAATCCTCACTGGCGTTAAGGAGGATTTGCGTTTTAAAGCAAATTTAGCTAAGTTCCCCTTCAGGGCCTGGCCCCCCTGGCCCCAGGGGTCAAACCAACCTTATTTATTGAAGAAATAATTGCCTTCCCGTAGTGATGCTTCAGACTAAATTTGGTTGAAATCCTCACTGGCGTTAAGGAGGATTTGCGTTTTAAAGCAAATTTAGCTAAGTTCCCCTTCAGGGCCTGGCCCCCCTGGCCTCAGGGGTCGAACCAACCTCATTTATTAAAGAAATGATTGCCTTCCCGTAGTGATGCTTCAGACTAAATTTGGTTGAAATCCTCACTGGCGTTAAAGAGGAGATGCGTTTTAAAGCAAATTTAGCTAAGCTCCCCTTCAGGGCCTGGTCCCCCTGGCCCCAGGGGTCGAACCAACCATATTTATTGAAGAAATGATTTTCTTCCCGTAGTGATGCTTCAGACTAAATTTGGTTGAAATCCTCACTGGCGTTAAGGAGGAGATGCGTTTTAAAGCAAATTTAGCTATGTTCCCCTTCAGGGCCTGGCCCCAGGGGTCGAACCAACCTTATTTATTGAAGAAATGATTGCCCTCCTCTAGTGATGCTTCAGACTAAATTTGGTTGAAATCCTCTTTGGCGTTAAGCAGGAGATGCAGTTTAAAGCAAATTTAGCTAAGTTCCCCTTCAGGGCCCCGCCCCCTGGCCTCAGTGGTCGAACCAACCTTATTTATTTAAGAAATGATTGCCCTCCCCTAGTGATGCTTCAGACTAAATTTGGTTGAAATCCTCTTTGGCGTTAAGCAGGAGATGCAGTTTAAAGCAAATAAAGCAAAGTTCCCCTTCAGGGCCTGGCCCCCCTGGCCTCAGGGGTCGAACCAACCTCATTTATTAAAGAAATGATTGCCTTCCCGTAGTGAGGCTTCAGACTAAATTTGGTTGAAATCCTCACTAGCATTAAGGAGGAGATGCGTTTAAAAGCAAATTTAGCTAAGTTCCCCTTCAGTGCCTGGCCCCCCTGGCCCCAGGGGTCGAACCAACCTTATTTATTGAAGAAATGATTGCCTTCCCGTAGTGATGCTTCAGACTAAATTTGGTTGAAATCCTCACTGGCGTTAAGGAGGAGATGCGTTTTAAAGCAAATTTAGCTATGTTCCCCTTCAGGGCCCCGCCCCCTGGCCTCAGTGGTCAAACCAACCTCATTTATTAAAGAAATGATTGCCTTCCCGTAGTGAGGCTTCAGACTAAATTTGGTTGAAATCCTCACTGGCGTTAAGGAGGAGATGCGTTTTAAAGCAAATTTAGCTAAGTTCCCCTTCAGGGCCTGGTCCCCCTGGCCCCAGGGGTCGAACCAACCTTATTTATTGAAGAAATGATTTTCTTCCCGTAGTGATGCTTCAGACTAAATTTGGTTGAAATCCTCACTGGCGTTAAGGAGGAGATGCGTTTTAAAGCAAATTTAGCTATGTTCCCCTTCAGGGCCTGGCCCCCCTGGCCCCAGGGGTCGAACCAACCTTATTTATTGAAGAAATGATTGCCCTCCCCTAGTGATGCTTCAGACTAAATTTGGTTGAAATCCTCTTTGGCGTTAAGCAGGAGATGCGTTTTAAAGCAAATTTAGCTAAGTTCCCCTTCAGGGCCTGGCCCCCCTGGCCCCAGGGGTCAACCCAACCTTATTTATTGAAGAAATGATTGCCATCCCCTAGTGATGCTTCAGACTAAATTTAGTTGAAATCCTCTTTGGCGTTTAGGAGGAGATATTTTTTAAAGAAAAAGTTGACGACGGATGACATAGACAGACGACGGACGCTGCAACACGGCATAGGCTCACTATGGTCTTTCGGACCAGGTGAGCTAAAAATGAAGAGCCCCTTAAATCATATGAGCATCTTCGAGTCGACTTCATATATACTTTAAAGGACTTAGGTTACATTTGTGTATCCAATTGAAACGGTTGAACCAGTTGAACCTGTAAAGAAAACGACAGGTACAGATCTGGACAGAGGCTGACCTCAGGAAAATTCGGCACATGTAGATTGATGGGTCCAGACGTACCTGACCGAAACTAAAATGCTGACTATTGCCAATTTGCGCCATTTCTTTCTTAAGCAATGTCAAGTCACATGTAGTTTTTAAGATACGTTATGTAATTTAGTGAACGGATGAAAGAAGGGCATATTATTCTCGATACATTGTTTTTATTATCCGAATCTGTGCATTTTAAACTCTGCTTATAGAACGGTCCAAGTGTGTTCGTTTATTGTGGAAAATTTCTGCGCCACACGTACCGTTTCAACCGGGGTACGCGAATTTAGCCTTGCATATAACAAAGATGCCTAGAGTAATGTTATATGGCCAGGCCAGTAGCATCATTGGAAAGCAGGCAATCAAGATGGTTCAAATTAATGCCATTGAACACCTTTCAAGTCGTATGGGTCAAATGTTTTAAAACCTTTAAATGACTCATTCTGAAAAACAAAAGAGGCCTAGGGTCAAGATATTTGGCCTGTAACTTGCTGGTTGAAGGAATATCAAGTTTGTTCAAATGTACAGGGTTCATAACTTCTGAAAACTTCTTTGAATAACAAAAAGCCTAGGTCAAAATATGTAGTCATACTATACCATACATGTTGGAGTGAAGGGTTAAGTAGATGGATGGATATGGCATTGGTTATGCTCAGTGGTTTGAAGGTTAAGTTCTAGGTTGACCTTCAACCCCTAACTGTGACCTTGAGTTGCTACTGGAATGGACATCTTTGTTAAGCATGATCATGACATTGGTCTCTAGTCATGACAAATATGATTTAAGAATTTTTTTCTCAAGAAGTTAAGTCCAAGGAAACTTGACATATGAATCGAAGGAAGCCTGATATCATGGCAAAACAACACAAAGGAAATAACTGAATAGGCGTACAAGGCTGCGAGAGGCCTTGATAATGACCATTCGTGTACTGCTACAGGAATGCTACAGGAACATTTGTACCAAGTTCTAAGTCAAATAATGCAGCTGTTCTAGAAAATACTAAGGATCAAGGGGAACCTAAATTTAAAATTTGAGAAATATAATAATTATGTCCTATACCTCTGGAACCTTATGATAAAGATAATTGTTTGAAGACGAACAAACAACAGACAACTGAACATTTTGAACAGCCTACCACTTTAGGATGATGTTGTATTAAGCATTAGAGCCCTTGTCTTTAAGGAGTCTTCCTTTACAGAAATATTGACAACAAAGTGTAAATGTTGTATTGTTTTATTCAAGGAAAATATCCTTAAACGTTCATATATTTACAAACTGTTACACTTCAAAAAAACATCCTACAAATTTTGGGATTTGTCTCCCATCAAAGTCCTGATGCTGTTGAAACACATGACCACATTTAATCATTCCAGAAAATGAAATTGTCCCCGACATACTTTAATTACAAATCTGATCTAACGCCAAATCCTGGCCCTGTTGGGGGTGTTGACAGTGAGGTTAGGCCTCCTTTAGGCTCGCATGCAAATCGTCCTTTCTGACCACTCCTGTAAACAAAAGAAGCCATGAGATGACAACTGTGCTTTGGTTGAACAAATATTTCTAGGAAATGCTAAACAAAATTTTTATTGTAAAATTTAGAGAATAATGGCAGAATTAATGATTCGATTTCATTTTGCATTTAACTTTGAGTCATGATATGAAATGAAAATTGCTGTTAGACTAAGAACAATTATTTGTTCAGTCGGATAGATATGATACATATATGTGGCACAATTAATATAAATCACAGGTAAACAGAGGAAAGTTAGTGATTACGTACTGAGGTATAAACAGCAGGTAAACAGAGGAAAGTTAGTGATTGCGTACTGAGGTATAAACCGCAGGTAAACAGAGGAAAGTTAGTGATTACATAACGAGGTATAAACCATAGGTAAACAAAGGAAAGTTAGTGATTACGTACTGAGGTATAAACCACAGGTAAACAGAGGAAAGTTAGTGATTACATACTGAGGTATAAACCACAGGTAAACAGAAGAAAGTAAGTGATTACACTCTGAGGTATAAATCACAGGTAAACAGAAGAAAGTTAGTGATTACGTACTGAGGTATAAACCACAGGTAAACAGAGGAAAGTTAGTGATTACATACTGAGGTATAAACCCCAGGTAAACAGAGGAAAGTTAGTGATTACATACTGAGGTATAAATCACAGGTAAACAGAAGAAAGTTAGTGATTACACTCTAAGGTATAAACCACAGGTAAACAGTAGAAAGTTAGTGATTGACAGGTACGTACTGAGGTCCAGGCTTTGGTGTTTTCCCAGCTTTTATTTCATTTAATATTCTGTTCATGTCGTCTACTGTTAAATCCTCCTGAAAAATAAATTAAAGGAAAATTTGGGAATCTGAATAATGTTTAATCATATTTCAACTGTCAAAACATCAGATGACTTTGTAAATTTATCCCCCAATCAGCCAAGTTTTGCTCTGAAAACTTTTAAAACAAGCTTATGGTGGACCATGGTTGATCGAAAATGCTTTCATACAGAAAATTGCTTTCCAGATATTGAATTCCTGCCTTTTAACAAGTAATCCTGCTGATTCATGTCTATTTTTTTTTAATAATCCAGGTGTTCATTGAAGACTGATATAAATATCTAATACTAATATTATGAAAGGTCTTGGTGTAGGGAACCTTAAATGGTTGTTTGGTAGTATACCTGGTAGTTGTGTGATGAAAGAATGTGGTGCAAGGTCCTTTAATGTTTGTGTGTTACCTATATGTGGAATGTGAGTACTTTTAGTCACATGACATCAATGGACATTTTTATTGGTCATAGCTAACTGCATAATTTTTAAGATGACTAATATCACTCAGCAAGGCGTTGAACGATAAAGGACCACTTTTGAAATTTGGGAGGTTTTCCAAATTTGATATTTGAAGAATTAGAGAACTGGGTGAGTTTTTAACCATAGATGTTCCATTATCATTATTTATATGAATATTCTGTAAGGTATTATCAGAATATTGGTATTATCCAATGTTTAAATTATTATTTCACTATTTAATTATTATTTTCTGATTAAGTGTAAATAAATGGATTAAGTGTAAGTTTTCAGATGTTCTACATGTACATTGTATGTAATTTCTTTATCCCAAATTATAAAGTATAGTGATTAGTATTGTTTTTATAAGATATTGATTTATTTCATTTTCAGTAGTACATGTAAAAAACTGTGTAGAAACTGAGTCATACGTATACGTTGCTTAGACAAAGGGAATTTTTGTAAACCCCGCATGATCTGTGGGGTAAGTTTAAAATGTTTTCTTTTATATTTAGATATATTTTGTATAATAGTATAATGTAATTTTATATCAACTGTATATTGATATGTAGAACTAAATGCAATATCATTAATAAGTACATTGTAAAAATAATTTCATATTTCAATATGGGGTTCATTAAATCAAAAACGTATCTATCTAATGTACTATTATGCATTATTGTGATAATTTAAGTATATGTACGAGTTATATCCCTTGATGTCAATAGATTATTTGAGAGATTTGAGAGATTTGAGTGAATGTGTAATATGTTGTATTTTGTACTTGCAGGTTTTTTTGATATACAGAATAAACATAAAAGAAAAGAACCCAACAGTGTTAAGCGGATTTTTATACACCGATATAGCACTGTAACATATGTGTAAGGACTTTTAAAAGACAAATATGATCTATATCTGAGAACGGTATTATCTTACAGATATAGAATGTGTATCTATTCTCTACTCTATACTCCACTACCAGAAAGAGTTATTACTCTGATCTTCACTGCAAAGAATTACCATAAAGATCCTCTCTCTGGAGATTACAACAAATCATTACAACACATGAAATCTAACTTACGTAGTAGTTATCGTTGATTTGAACCATTGGGGCGTTCACACAAGCTCCCAAACATTCCACTTCTATAAGGGTAAACTGGCCGTCTTGGGTTGTTTCTCCACAGCTAATTCCTATGGAAGAGTATAAACCGAAAATTGTAAATTTCTAGCATTAAACTGATATCTCAAATCAAGGAAGTTCTAACTATTTACCAGTTATTTATTATATTATTACATCCAAATACTCACCCATATTATTCTACAGTATCACTCCTGAAAAACTGCCCATATTACATTGCATTGCACCTATAAAATATTTCCTCAATTTTTGTGTGTGTCCGCTATCCAACCAATAAAACATTTGACATGGCAAAAAATGTAAGAATCACATTAGAAGAAACAGTTGAACAATGTGTAGTCAGGTTCTCTAATTTTCTGGAGTACCCATTATCTAAACGTTGTGTAACTATAAAATGTCTAACATGATCGACTTACCGTAGTTATCTTTAATGGCCTGAATGATGACATCAGATCCGAACATGTCTTACCTAAGTCATCTGTTATGGCCTGAAGGATCACATCAGATCCTAACATGGCTTACCTAAGTTATCTTTAATGGCCTGAAGGATGACATCATATCCTAACATGGCTTACCTAAGTTATCTTTAATGGCCTGAAGGATGACATCAGATCCAAACATGTCTTACCTAAGTTATCTTTAATGGCCTGAAAGATGACATCAGATCCTAACATGGCATACCTAAGTTATCTTTAATGGCCTGAAGGATGACATCAGCTCCCAACATGTCTTACCTAAGTTATCTTTAATGGCCTGAAGGATGACATCAGATCCCGCTCCTCCCAGTATACATGGTGTAGTCGTACAAATCTGTACGAAGTTTTTACCTACAGGTTCTCTGTTAACAAAAATGTATTACAAATCACTTAAGGATGTACACCTCTGAGAAGTCAAAAATTTCCTGTATTAAACTTTTTTTCTTATATGGATTTTTGGAAAAAGGAGTTAATGGCATAGTAGAAAATGCAAAAAAAACTATATGTCGGTGTGTTCGTTTGTGTGCTATGATCGATCAAAGATACCAATTTAACACAACATGTGCTTTTATGTGATTTTTTGGGTTTTGACCATTTGCGGAAAAAATTCATACAATTTCTTCCAAGTGTGTTATTAGATACATTTTGTATGTATGAATGTTTGTAGAATTGATAAAAATATGATTTTCTTTTAAATTATGTACCTGTAAGTAAAATTTCTTAATCTTATTCTTTTAACTCAGAAAGCCGATTTTAGTTACCCCTACCCCCTATTTTTAATGAAAAAATACCCATTTTTTACCATTTTTTGTATATTAAACGCTTAACTCAAAAAGTTCTGGTATTAAACTTTTTTTAATATTTAATGAATTAAAAGAAAATGTGTTTCTCTTTCTAAAACATCCACAAAAATGGGGGGTCGGTGTGCTTTTTTTTTTGTCCCATTATCATTTGTGTTATTTGTTACCTTTTTCGGGGTCAAAAATCAAAAGTGCTTCGGTTACACTAAATATGTAAAAGAATATCAATAATGTATAATTTTCCAGTTTGTTGCATATTATTTTTATCATATAAAACATTTATAAAGTTGTACAGCAAAATTGAACCTGCTATAATTAAAAATGGCGACACAATGACAACTTAAGTGATCAATCTAGTGTCAAAAAAGGTGAATTTTTTGCCCTTTTTTAAGCCCAAGAAATACACATTAATACACATTTTCAAAATGGCCACCAAATTGGTATTTTTTTTAAAATTCTTGTAAACAAGAGGCCCAATGGGCCTGCATCGCTCACCTGGTATAAAACTCACACTTGTAACCTTAAAAGTGATCTAAAATAAAGCTACAGGCAAAATATCAGTATTTATGATTAAAATTCATTCAAAAGACCCTGTTATTCTTTTTTAAAACATTTCACCCCTGTGATTGAAAGTCGAACAAAGTCATTATGTTGAACACATTGTATAGCCTTTCATCTTAGGATGCAACTTGCAAAGTATAAACATCCTGGGACCCATGGTTATTCAGAAGAGGTTGTTTAAAGATTTTAAACAAATTTGACCCCTGTGACCTTGAATATAAGTCAAAGTCATTCACTTTAACAAACATAGTAGTCCTTGATCCCAGCATATGCTACTAACTAAATATCAACATCCTGAGCCTTTTGG